GAATTCTAATAATCCTTGCACTCGTTGAAGACACCCCAGGCTGCTGGGTCCTCTTGTTCCCTCGGAAAGCAATCCGAAGACGTGTCCCGCTCCCCGTAGACTGCCCAGACGTCGATGCAGATGGGCCCGATGTGGTCCTATGGAGGCTTCGCGTGGAGGCTCGCGATGATGACGATGCTCATACTGGCGACCGCCCTCGAGGAACTCGCCCTCGGATGACGCACCGTCTGGCTGTGCGAGAGCAGTGGCTCCTACGAAGAAGCCCTGCTTCGGCTTACCAGCCGACGCCGCCGACGCAGTACCGCTTTCGTCCGGCGGGTTCGCGCACTCCTTCGCCCAGTGGACGACCTGGCCGCAACGGGCACAGTTGGTCCTGAGCTTGATCACATCGATGTGCACCCTGACTTTGCGTCCTTGACCCTCCTTGTACCGTGAGCTGGTCCCGAAGCGAACCACCGGCGGTATCGGTGCTCCTCCCTTATCCTTACCGTGGCCCTCCCTTGCCGCCGCCCTCATGGAATCCTCGCCGGTTCTTCTCCTGCCTCAAGGACTCGCGCACCGCCTGATCGGAGGCCAGCGCCGCGGTGACGTCCGCCTCTTCGTGCACCTCCCACAAATCATCCTCCCTGACGTAGACGTACTGGGGGTCGTCATCAACCTCCTCGTTCTCCTCGACCGGGTGGTGGGAGCCCTCCTTCTCGACTAGCTCGCCGTCGTCGTCGCCATAGAATTGGCGGTCGTGCTTGTCAGTCATCACCTTGTCCAGTCGTCGCAGCGCCTTGATCACCTCTGCTTCTGTGAAGCTGCCTGCGGTCCACGTCTTGATCATGTCCTCGCCTTTTTTCGCCCAGCTTCGCGTGTCTCATCATGATGTATCCTCTGGCCTCCGGCGATAACACGACACCCTCGCGCTTCAGCTCGTTGAATCTGGTGACCGCCGCCAGGGTGTACTCCAGCATCGATTGGCCCTTCTCCCGCATCGAGGTGTACACCGCCTTCTCGAAGGCCCTTGGCATAGTCTGTTCCATGTACGGCGCTAGCGCCTCGTCCAGGACTGCCACGATTCGGTCCAAGCCGTCCTCGCCCAAGATGTCGTTCACTTCCATGTCGGCGATCGCCTCCTTCGCAATCCCTGTCAAGCGCCTGGCTAGTTTGGCTGCCCACTTGGATCTAAGCTAGGGATGTCCGCGGTGCCCTGCCACAGCTCCAGCTCCTTCTTCCACCGCTTGTAGCTGATCTCCGGCTGGTTGCCGTCGTAGCCGGGCGGAGGTTCTCGGTCACGGCCGCCTCCGTTGCCTCGTTCCTCTCCATCTGCTTCGTCGTCTTCTCCCGCCACTGCAGCCTGGGAGCCGGTGGCCGTCACTGGCTCCGCTACCACTGAAAACCTAGTGGACTGATCAGCTCGATGATCAACTCTTCCTTACACACGCAAGCGCTCACCGACTGAGTCCCCTGGCCTCGAACGTGCAGCACAGGGCGGCACAGGAAACGTACAGGTATTGAAAGATATGGGACGAGAGATTACACGTGATAAGTAACTGGGAGTCGGGACGGAAACGGGAATAGCCAGCCCGAGCAGGATATGGCTGAGGAGGCGCGGGACAGGGGACAGAGAGCAGGGCTGAAGGGAAGTGGGTAGCACAGTAAACTTTGCAAATTTACAGATGGGAATCAGCTGGATATGGAATCTGCCGCATTCCATTCGTTTCTGCTTAGATCCCAATCGGGATATGATTGGAATCCGCTCAATCTGGGATCCGCTCCACCCCGATCAGATTTCGATTGCACTCCAATAGGAATATGCTTGTGATCAGCTAGATCTGGAATCTGCCTCTCTCTCTCTCTCTCTCTTTCTGTCCTCTCTCTCTCTCTATCTATCTCTCTCTCTCTCTCTTTCGCTCTCTCTCTCTCAGTCTCTCTCAGACATCGAACAAAATTCCTGCGAAAGCGAAAACACCAGGTTTCCAATGCCAAAGGTGCGAAAATCCTGTGTTGTCATTGGGATTTGGGGGATCCCTGGGATGAGAAGTGAGGAAGCCATGTGGTTTCATCTGGATTTTGAAATTCGAGGAATTTCCCCCCCTGCAGCGAGAATGACACCCAAGAGCCCTCCCAGGAGCTCCGGCCCCCAGAACCCCAAAAATCTCCCCCCCGAATGGAGACACATGGCCTCCTGACTCCTCACCCCAGACATCCCAAAAATCCAAATGAAAACACAAGGCGTCCGCACCCCTGATATCGCAAACCTTGTGTTTTCACAGGGAGTGTATTGGGTGTCTGGGGAGAGAGAGAGAGAGAGAGAGGAAAAAAAAAATAAAAAAAAAAAAAAAGAGAGAGACAGACAGACAGACAGACAGACAGACAGACAGACAGACAGACAGACAGACAGACAGACAGACAGACAGAATGACAGACAGACAGACAGACAGACAGAGAGAGACAGAGAAAAGAGGAATAGAGAGAGGGAGAAAGAGAGAAATAGAGAAAGAGAGAGAAAGAGAGAGAGAGAGGGAGTGAAAAAAAATACAGAGAGAGAGAGAGAAAGAGACGAGGAGGAGGAGGAGGAAAGGAAGAGCACCACCGTCGTAAGTGAATGCTTTTAAGCATGGGTGCTGCGGGGGCTGTCCACATATATATATATATATATATATACGTTATACAAGACTGCATTGGAGCTTCGCGCCAGTGCAGTCTTGCTCCGAACGCCTCCCCGGCAAAACAATAAATCATCGTTTGCTTCAGCACCGCTCCCCATGGGAGGAAGTAAGGAGAAAAGTGTCGTCTGGCTTTTCATCTGCCTCCTCCAAGAGTTATTCCTATCCATCCCTTCCTCCTCCTTTCCTCGTCTTCCGCCTCCTCCGGTGGTTGGGTCCATCCTTTGAGGAAGTAAGGCGCGTTCCCATGACACGCCAACACAATCAAAATATATATATATATATATATATATATATATATATCATGTGCGCGTCTTGTATATAACATAAGCGACATGAGGAACGAGAGAGAGAGAGAGAGATAAAGAGAGAAAGAAAAAAAGAGGCCAGGCGATCGCGGGGAACCTTGACAAGGACTGGCGCCCTCAAGAGGCTCCTAAGAGGCTTCCAAAAGGGCCCCCAAGAGAGAGACGCCCCCGATAGGCACACAAAGAGGCCCCTGTCCACGACCCAGGCACGGTGGCGGTTGGGCTGCAGACCTCTCACTCTCTCTCTTTCTCTCTCTCTCTCTCACTCTTTCTCTGCTCCCCTCGTCTCGCCATCGCTCGGACGTCCATTCCCCGTGCACGTTTCGGCTTCGTGCGTGCATTTTTCCCAAGGTGATCCGGGAAGCTCCCGGATGGTCCTCGACGGGAAAAATGCACACGTCCGAGCGATGCCAAGACTTTCCATACACACTTTTTGCGTCGGCGGCTAGGCAGAGTGACTGCGCTGGCGGAAAGAGCATGTGTAGTACGTACTGATGCGAATTAGGCCGCAATGCACGAAGAGGGGGGAGCGGAAGCCCGGCGCGACAGTCCCGCGCCGACCACGACGGCGACGGCCAACGGCGGCCGCGGCCGCGACGGCGGCAACAGGGGCTAGAGGAAGAGAAAATTGCATAAATACAAACTGGCCATCGCTCGGACGTCCGTTCCCGTGCATCCTTCGATTTCGCGCGTGCACTTTTTTTCGCAAGATGATTCAATCTGCTCCTCGATTGCCCTCGCCAGGAAAAGATCCACACGTCCGAAAGATGCCAAGTAAACTTGCGAAGCTCCGCGTGACATGTCCGAAAGATTATGCCTGTGCCGCTTGCTCTCGAGGATTGACAGAACCCCCTCTGCAGCAACGCGCCATCTAGAGAAAGTTGCCAACGGCACTGCCAAAGGCACTCCACGGGTAGGCCGCATTCCGAGCGCGCCAGGCGGAAGCGCTAATCAAAGTCCAAGAACTACTCAATGTATCCAGCAAAGCGCCGGTCGGCGAAACCGACGGCGGACTGCACCGGCACGCTGCGAATGCCGATGGCGAGAGAACTGGCGCAGAATTGCTCCATCGACTTGTCTGGGTGGGCGCTGGAGGCGGCCACGGGCTCTGAGCTGGACAAGCCCGGAGAAAATCGGTCGAGGGAAAGGGACGAAGGCACATCTGCTCAAAATCCATCCCCAAACCCTCCTGCGAGGCGGGGATTTATCCATATCCACCGCCTGGGAACCGACGTCCCTGGTGCAACAGCGGGCGGTGGGTATGGAAATATTTCGGCCCCCGGGGGCCCGCATGTGTCCATATCCACCGCCTGCCGAGGCTCAGAAAACTGACCCTCCAGGCGGCGGCCATGTATGAACTCCCGCCTCGGACCTCCAGGCGTCCACGAACACCAGTTGTCAACTCCGGATCGATTCACGGCGGTCCCATAGGGCCACAGCACGGCCCCCAGACTCCAAAAAAATCAGAGCTGGGCCACCTCGGGCCCCCAGCTGGCTCCGGGGTGGACGTCCTGTCATTGCCCGATGGTCCTTCTTCGGGCAGCGGCGGCGGCGGCGGCAACCAACCAGCGGCAGCGGCGGCCCGATGCCGCCAATGTGGACGCCCGGAATGGATACGGAAAAAATGGGCACGATGCCCCGCGGCAAATGTTGTCCCAAACCGGCAGCGGCCGCTGTTGGGCAGAGGGGGCCTAGACAACGCCCACGGCGGCACGGACAGCGACCCCTGTTCAGAGTTGGCAGAAACTGCTGCCAGCTTCCGCGACTTAGGAGGCAACTCCTTCGGCACAAAAATGATCAAGCCCGATACGAGAGGACCCATTGAGCCGCATCAGGCCAGATTCAGCCCCGGATGAAGCTGGATTCAGCGGGATTTCGCTGGACTGAGCGGCATCCGGCCAGATCAGGCCAGAATGTGTCATTTGTCGACCAGGGGTGATCCAGCGCCGATCCAAAATTCGACCTCCCAGGAGCTGCATCCCAGCGTCCCCGTTCCTGCCGTACCCCGTTTGACAGCACCGAGGCCAGGGCCGCCCTCCTGCTGCCGCGCGGCGGGCCGGCTCTGCGCGGCCGGCGGGCCGCCCTGCGGGCCGACGGGCTCGGCGCCGGGCGCCGGGTCGGCTGGCTCCTCGCGGCGCTCGTCATGGGACGCAGGGGGGCCTGCCAGTGCTGCGCGCCCTCCTCGGAAGCGCCCGCCCGAAGCGAACATACAGTACAGGCATCTTGCAGTTTGTTGCTTCCCGAGCGGTGTGGCCAGAAAGCGCCCGCAACGGAGCTGAGACTGAAGATTTCTCGGTGCGCGCGTCGCCCCTGGGGCGCACTGGGGGGGGGGGAGGGGGGCGACGCACGCATCGCCGTAGCATGTAGAGGTGACGCCGATCGTCAGTCACAGCCATCCTGCTGCCATGTGACACTCTGGGTAAGCAGCGAACAGCTGTTTCTGGCCACGACGACTCCCGACCACGAAGAGGTTCCCCGACCTGGGTCCAGGGAGCGGCCCGAGAACCGGAGCCCCTCCTGAGCCCAAAACGGTCATTGCCTCAGCGTCTTGACTGCACCCATTGACCCCAAGTCTCCCACGAGATATGTTGCTTCTTCGGCCCTGTCTGCTTCTTCGGCCTGTCTGCTTCTTCGGCCCTGGGACCATGAGGGCGATCCCATGAAGACGAAGCCAGGACAAGGACAAAACCGGGTCGGGATGAATCGGGGATCTCTGAGATCCGGCGGCTCTGGAGAATGTATCGGACGCCGCGGCCGTTCCAGAAAGCTCTGGGACGCTCCAAGAGCGTTCTGGGACGCTCTGCGAGCGTTCTGGGATGCTCTGAAGGGATGCATCCCTGTCTTAGCCCCGCCCGACCCATCCCCCCATCTCCGACGATATATGAGGTATGTCTGCTGTCTGGACGTCTTTCCTCCGCGATGTCGGCCTCTGGAGCCGTTGCTTCGGCCCTGGGGCCCTCGAAAGCGGATCGTAGGCAAAAAACTGGCCCTGGTGAAGGGATCGGGAACTCTGGGGCCTCATCCCGCGGGGGAGCCAAAGCAGTACCAGCGACACGCAGTCACGGAGAACCCATATGCGTGCCACGGATGCAGCGCCAACCACCAGGTCTTCGGGCAAAAGCGCAGGAGTAATACGTTGACGGGTTCACCACGGCAGCGTGTCATTGATACACTTTCTCCCGATCGCGGCACTCATATTTGCTGCTGGGTGCAGGAGCAACTGCTGGGAAGCCTTCGTATACGAACGACGGAGGGCTGCGAAGCCCGATTATACATACCACCCTCCGACCCTCCCACCTACAACGTGCTTGGCAAACCTCACTCAGCCACAACAACTGGAACTTGCTAGCGCATCTCTACGGCCACTGGAGCCCGCACGCTCCGCAAATCGGCCAGCTGGTTTGGCACAACTGATGCGGCCGCGATGGCGCTCGACGGGAACCTCCCAGCGCGTCTCGAAGGCCGCGCTGGCGCGCGGGCACTCCAGGGGGCCACTCAGCCATATTAAGCCGGATCCACTCCAGGATTCCGGTTGGCGTTGCAAAGATCGCGTGCAACATCGACCTCCGAAGAGAACGCTATCCCTGTGAGGCGATCCCCCAGCGAGGGCCCCTTGAGCGCTCGCCATCCCCCTGCGAGGGCCTGGCCGGTGCACCCTATCCCCCAACCAGGGCGTCCTCGGTGCACGCGATCTTCAAGGAGGGGGATAAGAAGACGAGAAAAATTCATGAACATAAACGTGCGGAATCCCCACGCGGATTTCTAGGGATCCGCGCGAAGCTCTGAGAGCTTGTGTTTACGCATTTCTTTCACACTCGAGGGATCGCGTGTGACAAGCGGGCCAGCGGCGCCACGTCGCACGATGTCTTTACAACGCCAACCATGAGGCCGACTACAGGATGCGACACCCGAACCCCTCTCCCACTAACCGTCGACTCTCCAGAATCGGTGGGAGGCGGGGGTTGGGTTCGGATTTCGCCACGTGCTCGACGAAGTCCGAAGCCTACCCCCACCGCCCATCGAGATGCCTGAATCGTGGATCGGCGAGGGTATAGGGTCCAAATTTCGCCGCCGAGTGGAGGAGCGCCCTTTCGGACACCCGAAATGGGTACTGTCCAAAACCAACCGCGGCCGCTGCCGGGCAGGCGGCCTTCTGTCTCAGATAAACAACGCCCTGGGCGATGCCGACAGCAAACCCTGCTCTCAGAGTGGACAGGAGCTGCTGCCAGTCTTCGCACCTCAGGAGGCACCTCCTAGGAGGTCTGCGTCGGAGCGCCAAGGAACGATCAAGCCCGAGCACAAGCCGTGCACCGCACGCTGTCTGTGCAGCGACACAGGCCAACCGCAAGGGGGCCAGCCTGGCCGCTGCTGCTGCGGGAGGGCGCAGGCCTCCTCCGCCCGCGCGCGAGCGACCCAGGCCTCGCCCGCGGGCAGCGCGGACACCGACCCCGCGCAGCCCCGCGGGCGCCGGCGGGCTTCCTCGGGAGGCCTGGGGCGTCGGCTCGCTCTGGAGACGGCCGGGGGGCCTGAGCTGGCTGGGACCACAGAACGTGGACGAGCGAGCGACACACCCACACACACCCACACCCAGAAGGGGTGTCGGAGAGAGGAAGACTGGCTGTGGGTACGGGTGCGGGATGTCGGGCCCCGGGCGGGGCTCCCGTCCGAGCGGGGAGCGCCGTCCAACCGCGCGCACCCGCGGCTCCCTCCGTCCTCCCTGTGGGCATGGGCGCGTGCCGCTCGTGCCGCAGGAGAGCCGGCTCGTCGCACCTCTGGGGGCAGCTCCCGGGAGGTCTTCGACAGAGCGGTGCAGGCCCCAACACGGCCACCAGACGTCGACGACCAGGGCTACAGGCCACCTCGGGCCCCCCTCCAGGGTGGGCGTTCTCTCCTTGCCCGATTCTCCTTCCTCGGGCAGCGGCGGCGGCGGCGCAAAACTGGCCGCAGCGGCGGCCCGCTGCGCCCAATTTTGACGCCCGAAATGGGCACGGAAAAAATAGGCACGATGACAAACAGAAAATGTTGTCCAAAACCAACAGCGCCTCAAATAGACAACGCCTGCGCGGCCCGGACAGCGAACCCTGCTCCTGGGCAGGAACTGCTGTCAGTCTTCGCACCTTAGGAGGCGACTCCTGGGAGGCTTCGTCTGAACGATAACAAATACCATGAAGCCCGATTGAGGGCCCACTGAGCCGGATTAATCCGCCCAGGATTAAGCCGGATTAGGCGGCAGATTGCTGGATCAATCGGGACTCGGCCAGATAAGGACAGATTGGGCAAGCTTTCAACCAGGGGTATACCATCACCAATCCGAAATTCGATCTCCCAGGAGCTGCATCCCGGCGTGCCCTTCGTATTAGACCAGGGACCCCTTGTTACCCATCTGCCTCGAGCGGTCTTCGGCGGTCTTCCTGCAGTCTTCGGCGGTTTCCGGCAGCTTCCTGCCGGTATCCAGCGGCCTTCGGCGGTCTTCGGCGTGAAAGCTGGATGCTTGCATTTAACAAGGGGTACATCATCGAACACCTAACACCCAACCCGTCGGGTCCCCAGAAAATCTGTTAGGAGGGGGGATGAATCCAAATCCGATGAAAATTGGTCCCTGCACCCCTCCCAGGGCGGGGCCCGTCTGGTGTAGTTTTTCATTCCGGATCCGTTTGTGACGGTCCCGGCGCCCGAGAACGGCCCAGGAGGAGAAGACGGAGGAGGAGAAGAGGAGGAGGAGGAGGAGGAGGAAAAGGAAAAGGAAAAAGGGGAGGAGGAGGAGGAGGAGGAGGAGGAGGAGGAGGAGGAGGAGGAGAGGGAAGGGCATAGGGGGGAAGGGGAGAGGAGAAAGAGGAGGAGGACCACGAGGAGGAAACGGAGGAGGAGGAGGAGGAGGAGGAATATTGCAGAGGAGGAGAGGAGGAGGAGGAGGAGGAGGAGCGCACCGACCGACTGCAGAAGCCGCCGCGCTCCTCGGAGCCCCGCTCCAGCTGCCTCTTCCAGGCAGGCTTCTTCTTGCGGGCCAGTCTCAGGCTCGGCAAGTCGAGGGGGCCTTCGGCGGGCCTTGTCGCTGGGCCGCGCGGCCCAGGGGCCCGGGCCCTTCTCCTCCTCCTCCTCCTTCCTCGTCCTCGTCCTCGTCCTCATTCTCCTCCAGGTCTGTGACTAACCTCGGAGGGAAGAGCAGGGAAGTGGGGGCGGCCTCCTCCTTGTTGTCCTCCTCATCCTCCTCCTCCTCTTCCTCCTCCTCCTCATCCTCCTCCTCGTGGTCCTCCCCCTCCTCATCCTCATGTTCATGCTCATCTTCATCCTCATCCTCATCCTCTCCTTCCTCGCTCTCCGGGCCGCCCAAAGACGCAGCCACTCCTTGAGACTTTGAATCTTCATCCCCCTCCCCTCGTCTTCTTCGCACTCACATGGCTGCCGCCTCTTGCCCCGCCTTCAGCTCCTCCACCTCCTCTTTCTGAGCTCACACTTCTCCGCCCCTCTCCTCCTCCTCCTCCTCCTCCTCCTCCTCCTCCTCCTCCTCCTCCTCCTCCTCCTCCTCCTCCTCCTCCTCCTCCTCCTCCTCCTCCTCACCATGATATCGTTCTCCCTTCTTCCTGACGCACGCACACAACTCCAACGGATCCAGGGCGCGGATTCGCAGTCCCAGGACCACGAACCCATTTGGGAACCGAGCGCCAAGCGCTACCAGGGCCACGATCCCTCAAAACAAACCGACGCGTCCTGCGCTCTGGAGGCCTCGATCCCTTGCAAATATGGGGAAGCACACAAGGACACGATGCCTTGTAAAGCAATGCTGTTACAGTCGACCCAGGCCAGAAGAACATCCCGCAAGAACATGAGACACTCCGTCGGCCAGAACAAACATAATATCCAATGGTACCCTCCCCAGGGTGCACAAGAACATCAAGCAAGCAAGCACGAAGAACATCAGGGTACCCTCCCCGAACCGACCTCGATCTTATGCCCTGGTCCGACTGCACTCAAATCTGCCAGGTCTCGATCCGATCGCGATCGCGCGCCAGCTCCCTCCCCAGACCACTCCCCTCTCAAGAGACAAGGAATCGGGCGTGGCTTCACGGGGAGGACGGCGATAACAGGGCAGTGGTGAAGAAATGTGCACGTCTCGTGCACCTTCATGGCCCCAGGGGGCCCTTTCCCCTTTCCTGCAACCCAATTGTTTGTTGTTATGTGATGTGTTTCCCCTGCAACCCTCCACCCCCCCCCTCCATCACCCCCCACCAAGACATTACCGCTGCCCCGGCGACCACGTGCCCGCGAGCAGCGCGCGGCTACGGCAAATCCCGCTGATGCGTCGCTTCGTGCGGCCTATACAGCACGCGTGTGGGCAGTTGGCCTGCGCAGTGTGCTTTGCTCGCGTGCCTGCTGGACACACGGCGCCCTGAAGCCATGCGATGCTTTCCCCTCTAGCCCAAGATGCGACGTCCACAGCCGGAGAAGGAAAAGGAGGAGGAGGAGGAGGAGGAGGAGGAGGAGGGAGGAGGGAGGAGGAGGGAGGAGGAGGAGTTGGAGGAGGAGGAGGAGGAAGAGGAGGAGGAGGAGGAGGCGGGAGGAGGGAGGCGGGAGGAGGAGGAGGAGGATGGAGGATGGAGGAGGAGGACAAAGCCCCCGCTCGCCGGACTCCTCCCCTTTGTCACAGGGTTCACTCACATGATGTCTTTCCCGCCAGGCTGGTAGGCGATGCCCATCAGGGGGCTCCCCTTTACTTTTCGCCAGGCTCCAGTCAACGACAATCCGGAGCCACGCCCCTCCTGGAATTCAACATATCGTAGATCCCTCTGGGTCGGGAGAGACGTCCATCGCGAGACTCTGCGAGCCCAAGCGCACTTCCCGGCATCGACCACCGTGCCCTCGGCACGCTTGGGAGTGCCAGAACGCCTGTTAGCCAGGGAAACCAAAAGGCACCGATACTGCTACTCCCCGGACCTGTCTAGGGATGCGTTCTGACAAGGAATCTGAGGCGCATCCAGCGGTGGCGACGAGGGCCTCCCAGGAGGCCTGGAGAAAACGGGCGAAGAGTAGCAGTATGGGTAGCTTTTCCTCCTCTGATTAGCTGTCTAGTAAAGGTCCGGCAGCTTTCAAGGGGCGCCCACTCATCTCAGCCTCACTACGGCCGCAAGACGGACCACGACCACCTCAAGACGCCGGCAAGGCGCCTGGAGGAGAGGAGGTGGGAGGGAGGAGGAACCTGCTGTGAAGGTAGCGGGTCCTGTTGGACACGGGTCCTTCGGCGGCGAGGGGGGAAGCGAGAACGTGAAGGCCTTCTCAGAAGGCAGATGGATTTCTCGGAAGCCCTCGCGCCTTCTGAGAAGGCTTCCGTGTCTTCGGGGAAGGCTTAGAAAACTTCTCGAAAGGCTGGAGGACTTCCGAGCCTTCTGAGAAAGCCTGTCAATTCTCACTTCCCCCTGGGCGCGCCGCCGGGTCCTGCACCAGGGGCTCTCCCTCGGACAAGCTTCTCATAACCAGCCTCGAACAGATCCCTATCCCTGAGATCGACGAGCCCGAGGACGACGACAATCTCAGGGTTGCGCCCTCAGAAACTGAGGGTCCTTGAGATCGGCACCGAGAGCAGAAGGTGCCAATCAAAAGTATACGGTCGGACCTGGATAGAAGAACATTCTCCAAGTACATAAGACCCTCCGCCGGCCAAACTGAAGAGCATTCGAGGGCGCCCTACCGCAGGATGCAACAGAGACATCGAAGAAACACAAAAACATTAGGGTACCCTCTCCGAACCAACCTCGATCTTATACCTCGGTCCGACCGTCGGGATATGCTTCAGGCTGGCAACCCCATCCTCAGCCACTCTTTGACGGTCCCAGGGCCCAGGGCGTGCCCCGCGAGCCCTACAGCGGCAGACAGCCACTCGCACGTGCCGCGGCGCCAGCAGGTCGCACGGAGTGCAGGGCCGAGCCCACGGCCACGGCGACGCGCAGCGCAGCGCGCAGCGCGCGCAAGGCGTTCCGCACGAGGCCGCCAGAGGCAGGCGAGCCCAGATTCGAATCGATGAGTCGGATCTGCGATCGGAGCCAATCGGATCGGCGGAAATCGGCAGCCGAAACAGGAGAAGTCGACTCGGCGGAAATCGCCGGGATGCTGGGTCTCCGCTAAGATGGAGAGAGGCGAGGAGAAGGCTGGGGGGAGAGACTTGTCTTACGTCGCAGCGCGGCAGAGGCAATCCGCACGCGCGCTCGGGCAAGCTGGGTGACGGTATTGCGAGGCGTCCGGGTGCAAGAGGCAAGACGGGGAGGGAAGGAGCGGCCGCGGGCGGAGGGGAAGGAACCGGTGCGCTCGCGCAGCGGGGACCGCAACGGGGGGAGAGGCACGAGAGGCGAACAAGCGACACGGCGGGGCGCAGCGCGGCGAACCGGTGCCGGCCTGGGAGGGCAAGGCAGGGCGGAGGGCGGCCGAGGCAAGGGGGAGCAGGGGCAGACAAGAGCACCCGGGGCCCCTCTCCCAGCGGCGAGCGAGGGGAGGGAAGTGAGGAGGAGAAGACCCTCTCAGAAGGCGGCGGGGCTCCTCGGGAGCCCTCGCGAATCCTGAGAGGTTCTCTGTGTCTTCGGGGAAGGCTTAGCAAACTTCCCGAGAGGCCGGAGGACTTCTGGGCCTCCTGAGAAGAGGCCCGACCCTTCTCACGTTCCCCCCCCCGCTCGCAGCCGACTCGCGTCCAGGACCCTTCCGCTCCATGGGTGCGGAGCGGGGGCGCAGGAGGGAGGGAGGACGGCGACCCACAGACCGACCACGACGGCCGCCCGACGGCGGAACACGACGGCCACGAACGAGCACGACCGACCACGGCCGACCACGACCGACCACGGCACCGAACCGAACACGACCGAACAAAGCGAATGACGACGACGACGACGGCGACGACGACGACGACGACGACGACGACGACGACGACGACGACGACGACGACGACGACGACGACGGCGGCGACGACGACGACGACGACGACGACGACGATGAGGACGACGACGAGGAGCGCCGAGCGGTGGGAAGGGCGCGCGCCTGGCCACGAGGCCGCGCGCTGGGGGGGCCCGGGCCCAGGCGCCCAGCCACGCAGGGGAGTCCGGCTGCCTGCCCCCAGGCCCCGCGCGAGGGCAGGGTCCGCCAGCATCGAATCGGGAAATCGGATCGAATCGGGATGCAGAGTCGCCATCGCTCGGGCGAACATTCCAAGTGCCTTTGTCGGCTTCGCGCGCGTATTTTCTCGCAAGATGACCCACGAGGCTCCTCGATGGTCCACGCCGAAGAAAGATGTTCACGTCAGGCAGAAAATGTGCCCATATACGCGGTTGGGGGAGGGACGTTCAATGGATTATCTCCCCCCCCCCTGGCGCCTGGACCCCCCAACACCTGGACGCCCGCCCGAGCGCGGTGGCGCAATCGCGCGGCAGCGCGACTGGAGAAAGTAGGATCGGGCGTCGGCATGGAGTCGGGATCGAAGCGGATCGGCCGCGCCAGGACGCAACATAACGCCATGCGAAGGTCGGGCAGAATCAGACCGAAGGAACATCGGAATCGAATCGGGTTGGGCCAGCCAAGATCAGTAAAACATCGTATCGACCGCATCGACATGGACCCCGGACAGCGGAGGGGCAAACCACGAGCGGCGAACATATCTCGGGGGCGCGCAATCATGGATTAGCGATCCATGGATTTGGCGCGCGGTCGCCAAATCAATTGATCCGGGGAGGTGCCCTCCCCAAAATGCGTCCAACGCCGCCTCGCTCGGCAGCGAAAACGCGCGATTAGCCATGGAAACGGGACCCGTCGCGAATCCACGCCCCCTTGATCCATGTTTGCCATCGCCTGAATATCCATGGCCACGCCCTAGCGGTCTGGATGCGGGGTCGCAGTCCTGTGTATACTCGGTCGCACGGGCACGCTCCGCGCGGGGCATCCGAAAAAAATACCTCGTGTACATTCGGCAGCGAGCCCAGGGGGGGAAGTGAGGCGGCTCAGAAGGCTCGGAAATCCCCCAGCCTTCTAAGAAATGTTCTAAGCCCTCCCAAAAGACATGGAAAACTTCTCAGAAGGCGCGAGGGCTTCTGAGAAGTCCCGCCGCTGAGAAGGCCTTCTGCTTCTCGCTTCCCCCCCGGGCGCACCGTCGATACGTGGGGTCGCCACCGAGGGGCCCGGCCCGCGGGGGGGGCCGTGGCTGTGCACATGTTCCCCGCCCGCAAAGGCAGGAGGACGGGGGGGGGAAGGAGAGCGGGAGGGAGGCGGGGACGAGCCGGGGGGATGGCGGGGCGCAGGAGGGGGAAGGGGAAGGGCCAAGGAGGAGGGTGCAGCAGGAGGGGACCATTCCCCCCCCCCCCCGCGCTCGCCGCCGAGTTTCCTCCCCAGGCCTCCGACGCACCCCCCGCGCACTCTCCGAGAGGCGCGGGCCTCGGGCGATCGCTGTGCCGCTTTGCTTCCCCCCCTCTTCCCCGTGGCCGCTCTGCTTCCCCCCCTGCGGGCACTCGCTGTGCCGCGCGCCCCGGGCCCTGGCGAGGGGCCACGAGGGGGAGACTCTGGAACGCTCTGGTAGCGGAGTCCTCCTCCACCTCCTCCTCCTCATCCCTCCTCCTCGCTCCTCCTCCTCCTCCTCCTCCTCCTCCTCCTCCTCCTCCTCCTCCTCCTCCAGCTCATCATCATCATCATCATCATCATCATCATCATCATCATCATCATCATCATCATCATCATCATCATCATCATCATCATCATCATCATCATCATCATCATCATCATCATCATCATCATCATCATCATCATCATCATCATAATCATCATCATCATCATCATCATCATCATCATCATCATCATCATCATCATCATCATCATCATCATCATCATCATCATCATCATCATCATCATCATCATCATCATCATCATCATCAGTCATCATCATCATCATCATCATCATCATCATCATCATCATCATCAGAATCATCGTCATCATCATCATCATCATCAGGATCATCAGCATCATCATCACTATCATCAGCATCATCATCATCATCATCATCATCATCGTCATCATCATCGTCATCATCAGCATCAGCAACAGCATCAGCATCATCGTCATCATCATTATCATCACCATCAGCAGCATCATCATAGTCATCATCATCATCATCCTCATCAGCATCCTCATCATCATCTCCATTACAATCACCGCATCATCATCATCATCATCATCATCATCATCATCATCATCGTCATCATCATCAGCATCAGCATCAGCATCATCAGCATCAGCATCGCCAGCACCATCAGCATCATCAGCATCATTAGCAGCAGCATCATCACAATCCTCCTCCTCTTCTTCCCCATCATCATCAGCATCATCAGCATCATCATCAGCAGCAGCAGCATCAGCAGGCGCAGCACCAGCATCATCATCATCAGCAGAATCATCATCAGCATAGTTATCATCAGCAGCATCATCAGCATCGTCATCATCATCATCATCAGCATCATCAGAATCAGCATCATCATAAACAGCATCATCAGCATCATCAGAATCAGCAGCATCATCATCGTCATCATCAGCATCGTCATCGTCATCGTCATCATCATCATCATCATCATCAGCATCAGCATCAGCATCATCATCATCATCATCATAATCATCATCATCATCATAATCATCATCATCATCATCATCATCATCATATCATCCTCATCCTCATCCTCATCCTCATCCTCCTCATCCTCATCATCCTCGTCCTCATCCTTATCCTCCTCCTCCTCCCGCCCTCCTCCTCCCCCTCCTCCTCCTCATCATCCGGCTCCTTATGCGTTCTGCAGAGTGTGCCTGCTACGCTCAGCGGCGTTGGCAGGGTCTCAGCAGGAGCGAGTGCAAGGGCCAACGAGCCACGGCACAGGGCAGACTGAATCGTCTGTGGAAGGGCCCGCACCCGACCACGGGGAGGCCTATGGGGTGAGGGCCCCTGGGCCTTGCCAGGTCTCTTCTACACGGTAGAGGTAGGACCTGTTCATCCTGCTTATCCTGCTTATCATCCTCCTCCTCCTCCTCCTCCTCCTCCTCCTCCTCCCCCTCCTCCTCCTCCATACACCTCCTCCGCCGCCTCCTCCTCCTGCTCCTCCTCCTCCTCCTCATCATCATCATCATCATCATCATCCACCTCATCCTCCTCCTCATCATCATCAGCATCATCATCATCATCATCATCATCATCATCATCATCATCATCATCATCATCATCATCATCATCATCATCATCATCATCATCATCATCATCATCATCATCATCATCATCATCATCATCATCATCATCATCAGCATCATCATCATCATCATCATCATCATCATCATCAGCATCATCATCATCATCATCATCATCATCATCATCATCATCATCATCATCATCATCAGCATCAGCATCAGCATCAGCATCAGCAGCAGCATCATCATCATCATCATCATCATCATCAGCATCATCATCATCATCATCAGCATAGTTATCATCATCATCATCATCATCATCATCATCATCATCATCATCATCATCATCATCATCATCCTCATCCTCCTCCTCCTCATCATCATCATCATCATCCTCTCCGCCCTGTGGCGGGGGGGAAGGGGAGAGGGGAGGGCGAAGGAGGGCTGGAGGGGCGGGATGAGGCAGCGGAGGCGAAGAAGAGGAGTGGAGAAGAGAAGGGGGAAAGATGGGACGAGGAGTTGGAGGAGGATGTGGACGATGAGGAGGAGGAGGAGGAGGCGGGGCAGAGGAGGAGAGGATTGAATTAAGGTGGAGCTGAGAAGGGAGGGTGGAGGGTAGAGGCCAGGGAGGTGGTGGAGAAGCAGAAACATGAGGTGCAGGCGGAGGCGGAGGAGCAGAGGCCTGGGATGGAAAAGGGAGTGATGGAGCATTTGGGGCAGAAGGCGGGCGGAGGAGGAGGACCAGAGCGGCTACAGCACTGGCGCCAGGGCCCGCGCGGGCGGCAAAGTCCGCGCCGGCGCAGGGGCCTGCGCAGGTGGCAACGTTAGCGCTGGCGCCAGGGCCTGCGCCGGCGGCAACGTTCGCGCCGGCGCCAGGGCCTGCGCCGGTGCCAGGGCCCCCTCCGTGCCCGAGCCCCTGTGGCCTCTCCAGGGGTCGAACGAGGGGTCCAGCGTCGAGAAGCCTCCGGCGGTGCGGTGTGCGTCTCGGGACGTCTCGCCTCGAGAGGCGGCCAGCTCTGGTGCTGGGGCAGCGGCGGGGTCGCCGCCGCAGCCGCCGCGCGCTCCTGTTGCAGCTGCGGCCTGGTCCGCAAGGCGCCGCGCCAGCTCGTCGGGCCGTCGCGCCAGCGCCTCGAACTCCGCGATGGATGGAGGGAAAGAAGACAAGGACTATGGCTCAGGACTGAAGGAGGAAACGTGGGTGACTACCTTGGTCATCGTCCATCTTGGTCACCGTCGCTTTGTGGGCCGCTATCCCCGCGAATCGGCAACGGCCAGCATGGACCACGACCAAGATCGACGTCGACAAGATCCCGTTACATCTTGACCATGGTCATCGTGTTTCTTCCCTCGGATGGACCCAAAGTTCGGCAGCTCCCGCAGCAAGTCCTCCCAGCCCAGTGGCCGCAGGCGCGGCTCCAGCTGCTGCCAGAGCCGGAAGGCTGAGGCCTTGCGCGCCAAGGGCTCCGACAGCGCGGTCAGGCGCGCTGGGAAGCCCTGTGGGTTCCTGGAGGGGACGAATAGAGGGGCCCAGGGACACACAATAAACACACAAATCCTAGGATGTCCCATATTTATCAATATGTTCTGGGTGTTCGGCTTCCCTCCCACTTCCTCATAGTTTCCAATGTTTTTCCTGGGGATCAACGATGAATTGTGTCTGTGTGTTTTGTCCCCCCTGAAAGGAAAAGGTACCGATGCCACCCCCCAGACTTGTGTTGCATCCTCAGGGGAACCTTGTCTGTCCCGTCGCGGCACCATCCGCGTCGAATCCATGTCGAATCCATGTCGGACTCGTCGGATCCGTGTCGAATCCGTGTCGACTCCGCGTCGGATCCGAGCCCAATCCGCGTCGGGCACAAGAGAAGACACCAATAATGGGGTCAGGCGAGGTCCCCCGAAG